ATATTGGAATCAGCTTGGCATTAGTGGGGCATTATATGAGAAATTTTGGTATTTAATTTGTATTTTTGGCATTACTTTGGCATTAGTATACAGACATTTGTCAGCGGTTTACTCCTTGTAGATAATCAAAAAGTTTTTTGATAAAATTTGCTTTTTATGTCAGATCATTTCTATGAAAAATTACATTAGATTTTTATTAAAGACGCTGGGTAATTAAAACATTGACTAATAAAGCTTGTCCACTTTAAATAAGGGGTCACGAAATATCCTCCTTGGAGTGTTTGGGTTAAGGGGTGTATAATAAATTAATCGTTGTTTTATAATAAAAACCATAAAACATTTCTTATTTGTGAGATTAAAAAAAACAATGCATTGGTTAAAATAAGTACATTCAATACATATGTATGTGTTATAACATAATATAGCCATTACTATTATACTATTATTATTAAAATAATATGTGTGTAACATATTTCTTTAACGAATTAACCTGTAACAGACATTTATATGCCCAGTATATTTTTGTTTAACAAACCAATCAGGAAAAATCCAAAACCTACCGTTATAGGAGGTATAAGATGATTAAACTTATATAATGACAACTACTTATCGGATAACAAATTAATTACTACTGTCAGCTAGTTCAGCTACTGTCTAGGTAGAATATACCTAGAGTACCTACACCTACCTATGATGTAGGTAGATTAAATCTTATTTTGACGTTACCTCTCACTTCGGTGTCACAAGCTGAATTTTTCAGGGATGGAAGTACAGTACATTTGCAGTACATGATATGGGGACCCTTATTCCGAAAGTAGTACAAAATTAGAGCGGGTAAAAAGGCACTATCATCAAAAATCGATATATTAATACCACCGTATAGAGAAAACAAATACTTATTTTTTGATCCAGTACACAATAAAGTCTTCGTAGGGAGTAATTTTTTATAATTATTTACAAAAAAACATTTCCATTAGCGCTTATGACCAAAAAAACTTTAAACATGAATAATCATTTCAATCATGCGAAAATTTGGTTTAAAAATAGATTTTTTAATATAACTTTCATTTAACGAAAAACGAAGGCCTAAATGAAAAAAAAGAAACAATTTAAAAGTTTCGCTTATGTCTTGACAAGGTATCAAAGCAAACCCCATATTTTTTGCTTTTAAACTAATAAAGATATATCAATAAACAATTAGCGATGTAATGGTTTTTGCGCGCGCTGGCCGACTGCCGCCGCTGCGCCGAGATTTCCTATACCCTTGTATATATGACGTCATGGTGTGGCAAATGTAGCATTTTAATTCGATTTGGGCTCCCTTATATAGGATAACAGAAACATTTTCAATGTTAAAAATCTTTAAAATAGTATAGCAGTTAGGGAACACGTTAATAAGTTTATTTTCATACATGAGCATAAAAATGTCACTGCAAGAGGTGTAAGACTCAGACATAGATTGGAGTAAGTACGATTTTAATTGAATGCACTCATTCACTAAATGCTCGTCGACGTCATCGGGATAGTAATCAATAATATGACATGCAATTTCCAAATCTATGTTTTCGATATTTTTGTCTTGCAAATCCATTAAAAATTTGAATTTTTTGCTATATGTCTCATAAACTTGTCTCCTTTTATTTAAATCCATAATCAGCTTATCTAACGCAACTTTTAGCGTGTCTCTTTAAATCTTTCTGCGCCGTATACTGAGAATTCACCTGTAGACTTATCTGAAAATTTTGGGATAATGCGTCTCTTGTTTATGTAATTGTAGTCTATTATTACACTAGTACTTAATTTTTTAGCTTTTTCGTCGTATTCCTGTAACATTTGATCTGATTGATGTCGTATGTTGCTCACAAAGTCTTTTAAAGAAACAATTAACTTGTTGCCTTCACAAATGTCTAAACCAGGGCTCTGTATTTTTTTATTAACTAAATGAAATCTCTCCAAAACTTCTTCCCAAAAGATAATCAAAATTGCAGTCTCGAGTTTCGCCATTTTATTGAATAAATTTCGTGCCTCTTTCCGGAAATCAACTTTCTCAACCTCATTTTCGCTGAAACTTTTGAAAATTGTCATAATGTCATCATAATTATTTTTTAAGGCTTTGAAAGCATCATAGTGGCAAGGCCATCTTGTCTGGCTTAAACTTTTAACCTGAATTTTAATTTTATTTCACGATTCAACAGTTCCCACCTATGGGTCTATTGTTTTTCGCAGGGCCTGGGGGCCACTTGTAACCTCGGGGCCCTGGGCTGCAGCCCAAACAGCCCGTAGGTAGATCCGGCCCTGACTGAAGGTGCCCGGTGGCGTAGAGGTACAGGCTCAGGTATGGGTTCGATTCCCACACCCGGCATTTCATCAGCCGACTATTTTTATTAAAATAAAAATAGTTTGGGTACCTAGGTCGACTCAGCCTTAAATGAGTACTGGGGATTCACAATCCTGAGGTAATAATAGGCGGTTGAAGCGTAGTGCTAGCCACATTACCTTCTTTGTATACCGAACGGCTCTAGTATAGCAAGCTGTACCTTGCTACTCCCAAGGCGTTAAAGTCTATATACGGGAGCTATTATTATTATTATAAATTATAAATATGACTGACTGGCAGCAAAAAAGAAAAAGAATGAATAGCATTAGGTAAATTTAAATAGTCTCGATTTAAGTGTATACTAAGAATACGGTAGCGTAGATTGACAACTGGGGGCCTCGGTGCAATATTTTTGGAGCTCCCCTTTGTAAAAAGGTAGACGAATTTGACGCGAATCCTGTGGTTGACGGAGAATCGGAAAACATATCTATGCTTGGCTTGACTTGGGGACGGACTAAAAACCAAGTCTGAGAACTAAAAGCCAAGTCTAAATTGTTGGGCCTAACCTAAAAAATGTTGCAGCTTTAATGGCGACCGCGGTTCATTCAGTTAAAAACACGTATACACGAGGAGGCTGCTACTGTAGCAGAAAAGAGAGAATTTCTTTCTACAATGTGTAAGAAAGTATATACCCAAAAAGCTAAAAGTAATGTATTTCACAGAGGATTGGGTCAGCTGAACTGAATGAATCAGGAAGTCTTAAAGTTTCTCAAAATCGTGACTCAAAATCGTAGCCTATTCAAGATCAAATTACCGTTCTCGATAATGGAAATAAAGCAGTGGAACCCTGTAAAACTGGGCCATTTTGTAGTAAAAATTCAGATGTCCGACCCAATATTGGTCTTTACTAAAATTTTGATCAAGACAATTTAATTTTTTTTTAAACCGGAGGCAAAAGAGCTTTTTCGCACGAGCGAAAAGCACCCTTATTTATTAATAAATAACTTAACCATTAATAAATAAAATATATTTCTTCGTTATGGTCATTTTGTTTTTGTGGATTTGGGCCGGTTGTCTGTTTTTCCCGGACCGGTTTCCACTTCCCCATCCATTCCTGTCCATCTGTTGTCCGTCCTTCTTGCCAGGGGCCCTGTTCTTTACCACTTGAGGGATTTGATTCTGTGGATGACATAAATTACTTGGGTCTTTTGTCACCTCCATTTTATTCTTTTACGATCTTTTCTGGTTATTCCCAGCACATTTCTTTCCATTGAGCGTTGTGCGACCTGCAGTTTCCTTATAATGTGTACGTTTTAAGATTCCAAGTTTTGCATGCATAGGTAGTACCAGGGGCGGATACAGGAATTTATTTTAGGGGGGGCCCAAAATAAAAAGTAATATAGAATATGCTTTTAGGACGCCATTTTTAACAAAAAAGCCTAATATTTAACATAATTTACAGATTTTAGGGGGGGGGGGCGGGCCCCATCACATCCCCTAATCAATCAATCTAGTTTTAAAAATGGTTGCCAAGAAGAAAATTGTGCGTGCTGGCGTTCGTATGATGTGTGAACATTTAATAAACACAATCAAAAACAGGAAACAAAGAAAACCTCGTCGTTGGTGGGTTAAGCCATGGATTTTAAAACGGAAATTGAAGGCGCTTCATTAAAACTGTTAATTGGCAACAGGTGACTCAAATGCCTATAAGAACCATTTACGAATGAGTGAAGAGCATTTTGACTCAAGACATTTTGCAACATTGAAATCCCTCCATTTAAACGACATTTTGATTTACTTATTTCAACAGAAACACACACCGAAAAACATTTCGATGCGACTGAACGCTTGTTCCAGCTTGTTCTCACGGGCAAGCACTATCCAATTTCATTGAATCAATACGACTGGTCCACCAAAAGTAGAAATGGTTTCCAGTTTTCTAGAAATGCGAAAACATTGAACAATATGGTTGAAATAATGTTCACATTAATCTGTTTTATTTCAATGACATAGATTCAATGATATTGATCAATAAAACTCTGTCTCAAATAGTTTCTGAAAAAAAATATTTTTTTAAAAGGTCCGATAAAATTTATATCTCCGAAACTAAAGTTTCAAAAAAAGTCATACTATACTAAAAATTCATTTACCCGGTAGTAGTTTTAAAAAACATTTTTGGTAAACTCTGTCTAAAACAGTTTCTAAAAAAAAAGATTTTTTTTAAAAGGTCCGATTAAATTTATATCTCCGAAACTAAAGTTTCAAGTTCTGAGATCTCTTATCATTGTTTTTCATTACCGCCTTGCCGGTAGTTTTGTTGTTGAATTATTATTATTAGTTTAAAATATATACACCTTCAAATAATAAATCTATCTTAGAAATATATTTATTCTAAGTCAAATTATTAGTGCGCCTGGATATGCCATTGAATTTCCAGCGGGTATATATAGCAAAAAATTACTTCGGAATGCAATGGGTGTGAATATGCGTAAACTTTTGGCAAGCTATCCAACGAGGATATTTATTATTTTTCAGATAGCTTCCATTTCAATCATTTATTATCTATCTGACAATACAATCGATGCCAATGCTATAACAATAGAACATAATATATTGATTCGGAATAAAAATAAACTACTAAAATATTTAGGATTTCTAGCTAACACAATTATTTTTGTTTTAGTATGATTCTTCATATGGAAAGTCAAGACCAGATTCAGTTTCCAAGAACTTATCAGACACCAGATCTACCCCATCTCGAATTGCTCAAAGGTATGGAGGAGGTTACACAAGTTCTTTATCGACATCTAGAGATACAGGTAAATCAACATAACCTAAATTTATTTTTGAAAATTATATTTTTATTATTATTTTAGGCAGAGGACTTAAAACTGATCCTCATCCACCAGTCTCCTACAAATCTCCATTGTCTCGATCTGGAACACGTTCCAGAGACCCAAGTCCGTCCCTGGAAAAAGTGGAAAGAACAACGCCATCGACTAGCTCAAGTTACTTGAACCCAAACAGACTGTACCCCAGACAGTACACTAGATCCAGTACTAGCAGAGAGAGTACGGTATCTCCTACAGGAAGTGTGAGCAATTTACCAAGACTAGGAAAACGAGATGATAGTACAAATATAGTTTCAAAGTATGGAGGTAGAACACCATTATCAAAAGACTCCTCAAGTCGAAGTTCTAGCGTGTCTAAAGAAGAAAGTATTTCGTCAAAGTACAAAAGTTCCAGGGAAGATTTGTCATCAGGGTCACAGAAATATCTGAATAGTAGGTTTCTGCCTAAAAATTCGGTAGAAAGGAGTTATACAGCATATACTAGACCTTCAACGGTTAGGACACATGAAGTTTCGAGAAAAAATAAAGAGTTACTTAGTGTTTTACACGCCCAACAAGAACAAGAGAAAATGTCCAGTAGACCAGCAAGCAGATGTTCATCGGTTGCTCCAGAAGAAGTTCAAAAAATCAAAAAGAAATCACCTGAAAAAGAAAAAGTAATAAAGAAAGTGGAAATGATTACTCTCAAAGTTTGTACTAGAGGAACCTCACCTACGTTAGGTAGTGCAACTCAACCTAGTTTCCTCAGGAGTAGAAGAATTGAGTTAGCAAAAACTATCGAAAAAACTGTAACTAGGCCAAAAACGGTTAGTGAAAATATGGTGGATAAAGGAATTCAATCGGATAGGCTGGATGATTCCACAAAGTCAAGTCGATTTGCTGGATCATCAAGAATCAACTCTACACCTTGGTCTAGTTTCTTGGATATGAAATTTTCAAGTCCTAGCACCAAAAAGACTGAAAAAACTAAAGCAGATTCGACTGACAGCCCAAAAAGTTTATCAAGAACGAGTTCAACAAAAAGCATTTCTTCCGATAAAGATTCGAAAAAATCCTCCAAATCGAAATTGACACCTCCGAAACAATTGAACGATAAAAAGCAACTGCCACCTCCGATTCCCAAGTCAGAAACATCTACCAAAGGTACTTTACATTCCCTAAATACTCCTAATAAAGATTTCCGAAAGTCAGTATTGAATATGAATCCTGACGGATCCAAAAAACGATTGGGTCGACGAAGTAATTCGGCTAGTTCGGCAGATTCGGATAATGCTGATCCAGATGCGACTGATGTATCAGAAAACCTAACTAGTTGTAAGTCGTACCACAAGAGCAGTTCCAGCTCGAAGTTACCACAGAAATGTTCGACGGACAAACAAAGAGGTAGGAGATCGCCGAGCTCTGATGTCAGTGTTAGCAGCACTACTGGACCTAGTTCCAGCGAGGATGATATAAAGAGGGGCAAAACTAAGAGTGCTGGGTCGTCCAGAACATCGGTAACTGAAGATTTTTCTACTGATAAATCTTCTAAAGAACAAAGTAAATCTAAGCAGAAGATGGATGGAACCAGGAATGAAGCAGACGCGAAAAACTTCTTAATGAGAGCTCTAGCGCCTGTAACGAATTTGTTCAAAGCTAACAGACAAAGCCAAAGTAATTTAGAAATTGCAAATGATAACCAAACTGAAAATTCGGAAAATCCCGACAAAGTAGTGTGGATTTTAGATCCTAGTTCGGACAGTGTTAGCGAAAAACCTAGTTATAGCTTACAGTCTGTAAATTCAGAGCCAAAAAGTGCAAAGATCGTATTACGTAGAGTTGAGTGCGCTGACCAGAGCGGATGGTGGGGAGATAATTCTGAAACACCATCTGAAAACAGTCAAATAAAGCAGATAAGTGAACCCGTTAATTTAAAATACAGAGAACCTGAAAAATTATTTAACCAAAAACCGGTTACGATGAAGCAAAATTCGTCCGGTGAAGCTCCTTGGTGGTTAGATCCCAATCAATCTGCTCCTGAAGGTGTTCAAACGTACCCTGAGAACGTAAACTACAAAGTTAAGCATGCAGATTCGGGAGATTCAAACTGGTGCTTAGATGAAAACTCTGCTACATCAGAAAGTATACCGGCTTACCCTAACTGGAAACCACAAGAACCGGGGCAAATATACAGTCAACAATACGATCAAAATCAATGCAGGTCGAAACCTCCAATTAGACACATTCATTCTGGAGAGTCTGCGTGGTGGTTGGAAGAAAACCAATCCAATGCTCCTGAAGGTGTGTTTGTTTACCCATCTCAAACTCAAGAAATGCTGGATAACCAGCCACAAAATCGCTTGAATCAAGCGAAAATCAGACCGGTAGAGAGTGGAGAAGTTGCTTGGTGGATTAAAAAAGACGGTACACCCCCTGAAGGGATAAAAACTTGGTCGCCATCACCAAACCAAGAACAAAACGACAATCAAAAAACAAAAATGCGTCCTGTTGATAGTGGCGAAGCTCCATGGTGGTTAAATAAAGAAGCCACGCCTCCGGAAGGTGTCCAAACTTATCCCAACTGGGTTCCGGATCCATCCAGCTCTTCTAAGTTATCCAGAAACGATTCGGAGAATTCTAATTGGTGGCAGGACAGTAGTAAATCTGAGGGACAAACAGCGAGTAGTAACGAACAAAAAACTTTCGGAGGAGGCTTAGATTTTCACGAAAAGCACAAACTAAGACATATAGATTCTGGTGAGAGAGCTTGGTGGTTAAATGATGACGATACGCAGCAATCGGAAATAGTTCAAGAAGTGCAACCGAAGACAAAAACAATGATTCGGCATCAAGAGTCAGGTGAAAAACCTTGGTGGCTAGGGGAGGAGAATCATGAAGAATCATACGAAAGTCAGGAGATACCTTTGGGGGATAGAGCCAGTCCAGAAGGGTTAGAAATGCCGAAAGATGACGAGGGAAGGAATAGTCCATATGATAATGTTCCTGGATTACAGGAATCGGCAAAGCAACCGTCGCAATCGATGTTTATTTCAAAGCACAGGAATATCGATGAGTTGCTGGGTGGAATGGGACAATTGTGGGGGACTTTTACTAGTAATTTCTTCGGGTACGATGATGAAGGTGAAAAATATAAGAAAATAGACGCTAAGGAAGTCATCATACATGAAGGCAGTGGGAAACAAAAGTAAGTATTAGTTTATGTGCATTATAAGTGTACTTAACAAAAAGTTTGCGTTACTTTAAAAGTGAAAAATTTGTTTCGGTCTAAGAACACTCACTCATTGTTAATAAATCAGATTTTATACGAATAGTAATGATGTACTATGTAGATGAAACATGTGTTTCAATACTTTTGTGGTGGATTCATTTCTTCAAAAAAAATTTTTGGTCATTTCGCTATTAGATGAAAAGCTAAAAAATAAAATAGTTATTTTTTGTGAACACCGCTGCGTTGATCCAACGGAGACCAATTTGTCAACGAAACAAAACAAAAGAACGTCAACGGTTTTTAATAGACGTATAAAAAAATCCTTTATGGGTATTTCGCCACTGCACTGCAAGAAAAATCTACAAAATAAAATAGTTATTTTCTGTAAACACTTCTGCGTTAAACCTAAACGGACGCTGCTTGTCAGAAGTTATGTTTACAGTAATAAAAATTTGCCTAACAATGAAAAAAATGCTTAACGTTTCTGAAAGTCTATCTCTTTCCGTCGTCAGAAGCAAAAAAATACAGAGAATAAAAAAAAATTATTTAAAATATTTAAATTCAAACTATTATGAGAACACTTTAGTTTTTTTTTAAACAGATACGTCTCGAAGAAACCGTTGACGTTCTGTTAAAATGACATTATATCAAGTTAAACTTCAAAATTAACAATTACTACCTGATAACATTTACTCTATGCCCTGCGTCCCATGCATGCTGACAAATCTTAGATTTGTGAAAATCTCCCTTTCCTAAATAATCTTTATGTTCTTTAATTCTAACATTTAAGGGTCTAAATGTTTCACCAATGTAAAATTTATCGCATTCACATGGTATTTGGTATATTACATTTTTTGTTTGTTGTTCTGTATTCATTGGTTTAGTATGTGATAAAATGGATCTAAGTGTATTTTGTGTTTTGAAAGGTTTACTTTATTCGATAGAAAATGACACTCTGAATCGAATGACATACATATGTCAACTTTTGACATTTTAGCATATGGTTTATTTGAAATTGTAACATGCGGTTCATAACGACAATTTGACTCAAAATACCAAGTGTGTGGTATCAAATTATTCGTAAAAAAATGCTTTTCCAAATATGCTAATGAGCCACCCTCGTTCCATTTGAAAAAATTGAGATATGATTAAAAATACGATTTGGACATCTTTTAACTGGCCAGGACAAGACACTAAAAACATTAGACGATCAAATCTATTTTTCCAAGGCTCCTTGATTAAAAATTAGTGTTTTTAACACAGCCGTGGCACTCCAGATTGAAATTTAAAATAGAATTTGTTTTTGAGTGACTATGTCAAAAATTGACATATGATATGTCATTCGATTTAGAGTGTCATTTTCTATAGAATAAAGTAATAAAATAAAGAGTGAGCCATTTAAAAATCAAAAGTTCTAGTCATTTCCGGTGAAACCGGAAGTGACCGAAAACAATTGAATACGTCAATCAATCCCAATTTATGTCATATACTAACATACCAAATCTCGTTGTTTTATCTGAAAAAATAAAAAAGTTATAGGGGTGAGCCACTTTTGAGATGCACCCGGTATATTGCAATGTTATAATGAAATAATAAGATAAACAAATAATCGCAATTATTTTTATAATTAATTTTTGATCATTTTAATTATAGCATTCTTATGAGGTTGAAGTATTTTATAATAGATTATAATAGAATATATCAAGATCATCAAAAATTAAAGAAAAAAAATATATTCCTAAAACTTTAGTTTTTAATATGTCAGGAATATCAAATTATAATATTATGTTTTTACATACCGGCTGCGTCTCAAAAATGGTTCTCCCCTATAACTTTTTTAATTTTTCAGATAAAATAAACGAGATTTGGTATTCAATTGTTTGGTTAGGTTAGGTTAGGTTGTACTTTTGATTTTTAAATGACACCCTCGGTATTTTTTTTTACTTTATTCGATATGAAATGACACTCTGAATAGAGTGACATATCATATGTCAACTTTTGACATTTTCGCGTATGGATGCGGTGGACGGTATTATGAATGATAATACCGAAGTGTGTGCTACCAAATTATTCGAAAAAAAAACTTTTTCCAAATATGCTTTTTTCCATAATGAGCCACCCTTGTTCTATTTGAAAAAAATGAGATAATGATTAAAAATACGATTTGGGCATCTTTTAACCGGCCAGGACAAGACACATTAGACGACCAAGTCTATTTTTCAAGACTCCTTGATTAAAAATTAGTGTTTTTTACACAGTCATTAAAATACTGTAACGTTTTTAGTTCGTTACATGTTTTTTTTTTATATATAATATATGATGTCTGGCCTATCATCACCGGATTCCCTCTCGTTCAGGCCGGATAGTTTATTTGACGCGCCTGGCGTAATTTTTACGTTCTCTAGTCAGCAACCCTGTTATCGTTTCACTGCTCCGTGGAGGCGCTGTCAACATCGCTTCAAGGCGCCTCTCCGTGCTTAACTTTACTTTGGGTTTGAGAAAATAACAAGAGAGAAAGAAGCAGCCATATAAAACGTAATTTCTAAATAGAAATTAGAACAATCGCCTTTTGTTTTCGTCATCATGACAACCAAGATGACAACATCATGACAATTCGTCATGTTTGTTAATTTTTCTTTTGGTGATTTACCTTTTTTTCTAAACTCTCCATTTTATTGACTTATGAATATGGATAGGGAACAAATTCCTTTGTTCCATATAGGTATTTATATTTTGTTACTTATAATTTTAGATTATACTCTTTGTTATTTTATTTGCTGCAGGAGCCAGTATCATCTATTTTCTATATGTATTGGTGCCCCCTTTCTCTGATAGATATGTTAAAGACACCCGGTAAAATAAAAGTAAGTAGTTATATTTATCATTTTATTAAGAAAAAAGTAGAAGTAGTAGTGTCAAAAATATTTCGAACCTCTCTTAACATAACAAATTAATACAATTAATTTTTTTCATTTTTTGGGTAGGTAGTTTATAGCTGGTTTATAGTAACCAGAAACTTTATTAATATACCTTATTTATTTTACTTTTGTTTTAGGATTAAAACTGGACTTCAAAATGGTTCAGGATCATGATTCTCGTAAAGTCTTCTTTGCTTGGATATTCACTTTGTTATTGCAATTAGGCAGTTTTTCCGAAAATGAGATTTTTAATGCCCTTTAAAAAAATTGGCCAATCGTTTCCTGCAACAGTCAGTTCTTCTGCATTTAAAATTGGTAGGTGGGTGGAATAAACACTGTTATTTTTTGTTATTATATTATAAAAAGTTTATTTATTTTTATGTATAAATAAATATGTTCATAAAACAGTACAATTTTTGCTTTTTTTTATAATTTCCCTTATAATAGTAGTATTCTTTCGTTCTGAAAGAAACTGTAAATTTTCACTTAAACTGATTTATTCCCTACACCACGTTCCCTTTACGTGGTATAGGGAATAAATCAGTTTAAGTGAAAATTTTCAGTTTCAGAATGAAAGAATACTACTAATAATGTTTAATTTAAATTTCCCCCCAGCCAGAATGTGCGATAATGTCTTACGATACGTTTTATACCTATCTCTTTCTTTTTCATATAAAGTACACATAATAAAGAAAGATAGCAATAAAGACGTACGTCCTGCCATGGTCCTGCTAATTGATTTCAAAATTGTTATTCTGAGTTCCGCTACGGGAACGCGGTCCCACTCTTTACCATGGGATTTGTCAGTCTCTTTTTATTTGTTTATCTATGGGTTTGGCCTCGGCCATCTCAACAGTCCCTGATTAGAGAAATTGCAATTATTTAAATCTTGCTGTATAATTTGAATCAGCTGCTATTTCGAAGCTACAGGTAAAGATGAGTTATTATCTTTTTTAGATTCGATATTATTATTGAATATTTTTAGGGTAGAGTTTTAGATGTCCCAACTTAACTTGTATTTGTATTTTGCTGGCACGTTGGCGTCCCTTTTCTTTTGTCCTCCAGAATGTTACATGGAAGGAAGGACAGGTTCTTTATTATTTAGTGAGTCCTCGGAAGTAATTCGAGGTAGGTTCATTTTGGTTATTAGATCTTGTTTGATTTTAAACAAGAGTTTCGTAATTCGAGGGTCCAAGGTACGGGTAGTGTTCCCCTGTACCGTTTTCTTATGGACAGTATCCAAGGTTATGATCCAAGTTACGGACATTGTCCAAGGTACGGGCATTATCCAAGGTCCTAGTAGTGTTCCAAGGTACGGGTAGTGTCCCCATATTGCCACAGTATGGATGCAGCGTAAGCCCCATGCTGCTTCGTTCCCACACACATTTCTAAGCCTAGTCAGTAGTTACGGTTGTATTGATTCATGGTGTCCTCATTCTGGCCTCTTTTGTTGTATTGGCCAATAGTATCGTCGACAGACAGTACAGAGATATGAGCCCACCTCACGCTGCTACTCTTCGAAACAGGATTGCCTCAAGAACTGCTAAGTGTAGATTTAGGTTCTGGTTTTCAGTCGATTTTCAGTCTTAACTTAATAACGTACATCTTAAGTAATATCGTACACACTATGTTTAGTGGTTAGATTATTAAGAACATTTATGTCGATTTAGTAGATACAATATGATTTAGATCTTAGGTTTCATCAAATTACGTCTTGTAATAGTATTACTTTCTATAGATATTATTATTGCGCTGTGTTAACAGATGAATAACCAAACATAGATTCTAGAATCTACGGGTTGCGACATGTTCGATATAACATCATATAAAATATATCAAATTAATTTAAGTAATGCTACATTACATATATTCTCTTAAACTTTACATGTCTTGTTGTTTTCATAGATATTTAGTACAACTCTTAACACCATTTTCTTTGACATATAACCACTATATATTTTATTAGAACTCTACAATGTCATGTACCAGCAAAGAACATCATGAATAAATATAGTCATTAGTTTTAAGTAATATACAACTGTGTTTTCTTTCCCTGTACATGCCTGGCGCCCAATATCTATATTCTTTTTCTTTATTCTTATTGATTAGTTTTCTCTCTAGTGAAATACCTTATCCACGACTGCTCTCCGATGAAAAGCTGCCGTTCGCAGTGGTAATGTTTTATAAAAAACGCTACAATATGATTATTTTTAAACGAAAATGTCAAAAACTGACACATGTTATGTCATTCTATTCAGAATGTCATTTTCTATCGAATAAAGTAAAAATATACCAATGGTGCCATTTAAAAATCAAAAGCTGTAGTCACTTCCGGTGAAACAGGAAGTGACCAAAAACAATTGAATACGTCAATTAATCCTAATTTATGTCATATACCAACATACCAAATTTCGTTTTTCATCTGAAAAAATAAAAAAAGGTTTGAGACGCACCCGGTAGAAAATGAAAATGGTATAATTTTAATATATCTTTTTTCTATTTTAGCGAAAGAAGTTCTCCATACAAGAAGGTAAGTCTGGAATATATTTTTAATAGCAATTATATATTTTGTGTTTTATGAGTGAATCGCAAATATTCTTAAAACAAAAAAGTTACTTGTTCGTTATAAAAAATGACCCGCAAAGAGATTTGTTTGGGGGGTCATGACCCCCCAAAGATATTGATTAGTGCCTTTCTAAAAGTAGACAAAAAGGCAAACTGTATATAAATATATCTACTTTTATTGGTAAATAGGTTTTTTTATATAATCTTTTGTATTTGGCTTATTATACAGGGCCAATAAAAGGGTTGTTTTTTAACCTAACTTTAAAATACAATTTTCCTATAACACACACGTTACATTAATTTTCGGTCAGGAACCATGACTTTTCAGCATTTTGTTTTTTGACTCTTATCAACACATGCCTTGATTAATTTTTAAAGGCGAAATAAACCAACAATTTCTAAATTTTTTACACCGTTTCACCATACTTTTTGACATTATTTTTTAATATGACGAGGTGGCTTTAGTGAATATTATCGTAATATCATATTGACAATTACATTTTGTGTACCTACAATTGAATATGGGTTTTAGAGTCGAAGAGTTTTAGTTGAGTTAAATATGAGACAAATGAATGTAATTGATTCTGTCCAAAAAATAATGTTTTATTTACTCACGAAATTATTACACAGTGTTTTAAATTTATTGTAAAAAACAACTCTTCGATTAACCCTGTATAATAAGCCTAATACAAAAGTTTATAAAAAAACTAATTTACCAATTAAAGTAGATATGTTTATATATAGTTTGTCAAAAAATTCACGAAAATAGGTCTAAAAATAAAAAAATATAAGACCTTAAATTTGAGGAATAAAATTTTCTGTTGCGTTTTTTTGCATCTAAGTGTTGTATGGCGCTGTTTCACGAATTTAGATCCCATATTTGGAAAACAGAAACATTTCCCATGTTAAAAAGTTTGTATCGCTCCATTTAATGGTGTTACCGCTTCTGCCCACCGTGTTCAGCCATTCTTTCATCGCTCATTGGCATAGTTCGGCCTATCGCGTACCTCCCACAGGTCTGAGAAAAATGAGAATAGTGCCTTAATCTGTTTTCTGCGAAGAATAAAACGGAGTGCTTCATATTCTCGGTACGATCATTAAAGACGAGACCAGACAGACAAGACAGAAGAAAGAGAGATAGGGAAAAAAACGAAGATAAAGAAAGAATGAGAGCAGAAACCCTTTATAAACGTTTGTTACCGCTGTGGCTAATCTGGTTCGGTGGTTCGACCGTGTCAAAAGGACCGTAAAAATAATTTGACATTATAAATTGACTTGTGCGAAATTCGATTTCGATATGGTCGATAAAGGTTAAGTACATAGAGTCCAGAGATATAGGAGTAAGGTAAATGGACCAGTACTCGTCACATTAAGAAAAGTTCATAATACTTACGGTGATACATCCAAATTATCTATACTAATATATAAAATCCTTAAGTGACTGATTCACTGATTAAATCACGATCCTGCTCAAACTACTCAACGTAAGAAGCTCAAATTCCAAGAGGGTGAAAACGCCCCTCAAATATTACAATATTTGTTATTTAAAAAACGGTTGGTCTTTCGGGAAAACGCTTGGACACGCATAATTTATTTTGTTTTTTTACATATTTGGAATTTTTTTAAAAAATCATACAGGGTGTTCCAAAAAGTTGGGTAATTGATTCTGCTTAAACTGCTTGACGTAAAAAGCTTATTTTTGGAAAACGGATTTTTCCACAGTCAAATTTCAACGAGATGAAACTACCCCTCAAATATTACCAAGTTATATAATAATATCGCCATATTGTTTTTTCTCATGTTGACATAAATGTGAGAAAATTTATCCAGTTTGTATGTTAACGGGAATTCTTGCTTTGCTTTATCATCACCATTACAAATGAGAAATTCGACGCGAACGAAGTCGCGGGTACACGCTAGTTTGACATACACGCTAGTTTTACACAGGGTTCGGCAATACTGCGTCGGGCATGTGTAGCTCCTATAATAAAAAAATGGAAATTTTGTTTAAGTGCAAACCTAAAGTATGTACTAGGATGTATTTCAGGAAAATATTTTAACTTCTATAGAATATAGAATGGCTCAAAATAGCGTGAGTGGATCAGAATGATTTTATTAAATGAAACACCTTCTATATTATTTCATTTTTGGCTTCCTTTCAGATCACGTTACATAATTATAAGATATGAGTAAATATATTTCGATAGTTTCAGATATATATTAAATAAATAAAAAATATATATTGTTACGGATTCCGTGGGTCCACTATTTAAACTCACGATAAAATACTTAACGAATTTATTTTCTCACTTTATACACAATTACTAACTTATAACACACAACAAACTAACTATTTATAAGATTCCTTCACCAAATTGTCCGATTTTCAATTTCCACGCGGTATATTCAAATTTCAAAAACACCGCATGCTTAGAAAAAATTAATAAATGTTTATATTTCATGATTTTAAATTGTTGTTAATAAACAAATTAGTTCTGTAATTATTAGTATTCAATAAACCAACGTTGCCAAAAAACTTAAAGACTATATTATTTTTAAATAGGATCTAATATAAATAATTTTGACATCTAATTTGTTGTTTATATTTTGCTACTACGTAAAAAAAATTATATTAAATTATTTTAAATTTTGTTTGTAATAGGTATAACAAATTATTACTGTTATTATTATTTTTTATTAAACCAGTCTTTGCTTAAAAACATTAAAAATTATTTTCCTACATCCAAAATAACAAATATTATTGCAGTGTAACAACAGAATATTAATAAAAAAAATGCAAAATATATAGACATACTATCCCTAACTAACTAAAGCCAAACCAAAGGCCAAACAATAATATTCTTTGCTAATATCAACTAATACCAATATATGGCAACAGCGCCTGTAATTACTAGCACCTCAATAAAAAAAATAATGTGTCCTTATCTTTATATGACTCCGTAAAAAAGCAAAGATGCCTGCTTCTTTCATAGCATTGCCACCGACCGCTGTCGGGTTTCTCGGAAAGAAATCGCCGGGCGACAACTAAAATTCAGTTAATATTTTATTATAATCGATCCTGACGAATAAATGAATTTCATAAATGAATGAATTTTATAAATGAATGGTTTTTGCTGCCGAATTACTAGAATACAATATTTCAAGGCAGATGACGGATCTATTCGATAATTTTTATTCGAATAGTTTTCAACGAATGTTTTCTTACTAACTATCGAATTATTCGAATGAATTGCAACTATCGAATGTTTCGATAGTATTCATTCGATAGTTCCCACTACTAGTTGAAAGAGCCATATGAAATAATACTGCGTGTATCTGCAAAACCATTAAAAATTTGGAAATACTTTAAATACAAAAAATGTAATTTTTTAATTCTCCATCGAATAAATAAATATTATACAGAGTGACGGGTTGGAAAAATTATTTTATATTTCAGAAAGTTTGGCGTAGAATTTTAAATACCCGTTGTATGATTTAAGATTCCGAAAGGTTAGCAAAGTAAAAGTAAAAATTAAATAAAATTTCGAATTTTCAATTTTTTTGCGAGAAAACCTCATAATTGGTTTCTGGGATCGAATTATACAAAAAATATTGGCATTTATTTAAGACTCACCCTGTATAATGAAATGACTGATTTCGTTTCGGTTCTATAAACATTTTACTTAGATATCAAACAATGTGCAATGTTGCTTTAATAAGTAGATACATTTTTTTTGGTTTATTTGATATAGCAATGATAGTCTTTTTACGTACAAGTTGTCTTCTCTGCCTCTAGAAGCTCGTTTGATTCCACATCCTTGTATATACCACCTTACGCCATGCCACAAGGAAAATAAGATCGATTTTTGATTAAAATGAAAATTTCCTGCTGCGGAATTTGCATCTCCTTTTTACTACGTGTCTCCCAGTTGTGACAGTGCATGTGTATGCCTGTGTAACGGTACAACAAAATTTCACCGAAAAAAAAACTATGTTGTTTATTATTGATGCAAGAGACAAACAAAAGATTGACAAAAGTAACATTTTGAATTTGTGTCATAAAAATTTGCAAAGGTTTTTTAAAGACTACGAAAAATTAAACAAGATAATGATCGTATTACTGTATCAATTTTTGCGAAATCTGAAGAAGTAATTACCTATTTACTGTCGACGAAGTCTAGAGCACATCACGAAAAATAGTTAGCAATTTTATCTACTACCACTACTTATCCACATAAAATATCACTTTAAATGCGTGAATGGATAAAACTCCTTTAATTATATTATTGTGAATAAAAGTCATTAGATATTTAATTTTCTACTTTTCTTCTTTTAAATGCCTTAAAGCAAATTCAAAAATCCTTAGGTACTATATTTAAATATTCTTATTAATAATTCCAGTGAAAACATATGATTTATAGCCGATTTTCCTTTTATAGAACGTAGTGAAATAAGAAAAATAAAGATAATCTAGCAAACATCTGTGATAGAAAATGAAATACCTCTTACCATTATGGTTCTCCAAAAAGAAAACATACTGAAAACAAAAATGAATAGAATGTGAGTGCTGACAGGCGCTGAAGCGATGTTCTACGTGTTCGAAAAAAAGCTGTTCGGTCATTTTCTTGATTTTATATCGAAACAAATAAATCGTTACAAAAACGGGGATATAATCTCGTAATCGACAGATGATGCGGAACAAAACACTCTCAATTGCGGACTATACAGAGTGGACAAAATGTCAAATGCAATTTTTCCTATTAGATCATAACCAGCCATGAAGACTAGTTTTAATTTTTTTTTCCATAGCAACTGTTAAAATTGCCTTATATCTATCAAAAATAGTAGATAAAATAGTACTTTATACTATACAGAGTGGACAAAATGTCAAATGCAATTTTTCCTATTAGATCATAACCAGCCAAGACGACTAGTTTAATTTTTTTTTCCATAGCAACTGTTAAA